CTCGCTATTTTCAAGCGGACCAGTATTTCTTTACAATAAAATTTTACAATTTAGAATGTATTTTGTTTAACAGCAGGAGGCCATGTTTGTCATACTTAACATTGTGTTTCCAAGTCGCATCATTGTACTCAATTTCCTTGTAGGATGTGCTCATTCAATCGGGAATTATCAGCGTTGGATCAATAAGCGGTATCATGTCCGGAAAGCACTACAACCGATCAATTATGTGTCATAAATTGGTGTATGAAGCCTTGCAACGTCTTCGATTAGACGCATACTTGGATTAAATCAATAATCAGCAAAAAGAGAGTGTTTTAACATCCATTCAAAATGAGGCTGATTATTTTGCGAACGGCACACTCATCGACTGTATCGAAAGTCAGCAAATGGAACAACTCGTGAAGAATTATGAGCAGTTTGTTGAAAAATCAAACATGAAGTCTAAAACTTTTGCATTCTGGAGCATGTACATAAAAATGACTGGTATGTACTATATACCAGCTTGTCCTTCCTGCAAACCTTAGATCATACATTTACGTGCAGTGCAAATGCAGGACATTTTTCTCTAAAATAAGTTAAAACTTGCATTGGTTTTGATGTTTGGAGAGCAAACGTTGTACTATGCCGAAAGTTGTTGGCTTCTTTAATAAAGGCCCTTTGCAGTTTGCTACTCTTACAACATTGTTTATGCAGTAGTACTGTATGTATACAAAATGACCTGTCATGCAGCATGAGACCCTCACATTTTTTTCATCTTTTGCTGGCCTCACTTTAAAGTTTTTTAAACATTTTTAGAAATCCTGCTGCACTTCATTCGGGCAACTCGAGAAGTCGATTTGAACCTTCATTTATCGTCGCTCAGATGTTTTTTGCCTTGGTTTTTTATTTGCGATCGTATAAACTATGCCAGATACGGGATTGCTTATTGGCTGGAAATGGCAGCATTGAAAATACACACCCTGCGTTGTATAATCTAATTAAATTTATGCATCGTAACTAACAGTTACAAATAAAAGAATGGGCAGTTTGATTCTAAGATTTTTATTTCGACTAAAAATTGTTCGATTGTTCCCGATTTATCCACAACTTTCGCACTCCAATGCCAAGATTGTCACGGACTCTCCGCAGTTTCTTGTGACCAGATGATTGAACAAACCGTAAATCGTGACTCCAAAACCAAGGGAGGCATTATTGGTTTTTCATTAAATCGGTCGGCGGTCCACAGATGGTTGTTAGCCCAATCAGAAAGAGCCACAATTGCTAACAAATTCAAGAGCATGGATGGTTTTAACATTACGCCAAGGTAGATCAGCAGTTTCTCTCACTATACATGAATTGTCATGAATTGTATCTCACGGTATTTTTACAGGAGCCGCAAAGATCTTGACAAAACTAAGTGTGCACTTTATGAAAAATTAGTGAAGAATGTAATGTCTACAGTGTTGAGCATGAACAATCCGTTTTATGCTGAGGAAGAAAATTTGGTTGGTTTGGCCAGTGGCTTGGTGGTGGAAAACGAGATTGCAGATAAACTACGGGGGGCAGAAAAAATAGGGGAAGAGCAGTTTATTAAATGTGCAAGAGATAATCTTTTGAGTGCAAAACTGGACATTTTGGCAAAGTTCATCCGTAACAATATTTCAGATCTCTTGTGCCAGAAACGGTCAATTGTTTCAACCAGCACAGGGAAAGAAATTAATTTAAAAATGAACAGAGACCTATCTGCTCGGCTATTGATGCTAGGTAAGACTCGTGAAATTGACATTGCAAATGTTTTGTCGTACAGTCTTGGCACGTACCCGCTTTCCTTGGCAACCACTTCTGGAAGTCTTGTTAAAACAACCAAATTCAAGTTATTTGAAGTTTTAGAAGGTAAAAATAACGATTCTCGTTGTTAGCTTTATTAGTGTTAGAGTAAGGTAGGTTTTGTTATTGTCTCGACAAGTAGTATTTACAAAGAATTCCCAGTATCCAATACACCTCAAATTTGGTTTAATGATTCAAATAGGTTAGATTAACTTGCTAAAAAACAGTTGTTGTTGCAGTGTTCGTTTTCATGAAGGAATTTCTTACGATTTTTAATGTATAGGTGACCACCTCATGTGCAAGTTTGATGGAGAACACTGTGATAACAATGCACTCATTGTCGATGCCATGGCTCTTATCCAGACAATGAAGAGCAAATGAAAAACGTTAGGAGAATTCTGCGATGCAATTTTTAATAACGTATTTAAGTTGGCCAAAGACTGGAAAACAACAAGAGTTGACTTTGTTGCGGATAGATACCTTCCGACAAGTATCAAGGAATCGGAAAGGAACAGTAGATCCGAAAGCACTGGAATTCGGAAAATTCGTGTATTCGACAAAAACCTGCATGTTCCAAAGCAGTGGAAAAAGTTTCTTGCTCTGGGCGAAAACAAAGAGTCGTTGATCCAGTTTCTTTGTAGGCACTGGAGCAATTACGTATCATCTGTATCGGACATCTGTCATCGTTGTATGTAACGTCGAAGGAGAAATGCTATCGTATTACTCGAGCTAGATCAGATGAGTATAAAGTGGAATGCGGTGAAATGTATGAATTGGAGTGTAATCACGAGGTGGCTGACACTCGACTCTTACTACATGCAAATCATGCTAAAGAAACCAACGAAAGAATCATAATCAAAAGCCCAGATACAGACGTTTTTGTGTTGTCGATCGCCATGCAACGAATTATTAACAATGAAATATGCTTCATGACTGGAACGGGAAATAACTTCCGCTTGATTTCTATACAAACTATTGTAGAAGAAAGTGAGGAAAATCTTAGTCAAGGCTTGCTAGGTTTCCATGCCTTTACTGCTAATTCTATAACACCAATGTTGCCATTAGTTCTCTTTTGTTACGATGAAATTAAGTGAAAGAATAGTATACTGTAATCAATATTTTCATAATTTTCTTTTAAGGATGTGACACCAGCAGTTCTTTTAATGGGAAGGGCAAAAAGACAGCTTGGAAGATTCTTCTACGTAACCACAAATATTTGAACTCATTTAGTTCCTTAGGAAGTGCATTTCCCCCGTCAGAAGAACTTGTGTTTCAACTAAATAGATTTGTTTGTTTATTGTACGGTGACAAGAATTCTGAGGACGTCAACAAATGTCGGTTCTCATTGTTCAAGACATGAAAATGTTCAGATAAGCAGCTACCACCAACTTCTGGCAGTTTGCTTCAACATATTCGTCGGTCAAACTACCAAGCGGCGATTTGGCGTTCCTGTTTACAACCTCAAATGGATATTCCTCCTCCGGATGAAAACGGGTGCAAACAATTGACGGAAACTGCAAATCGTATGGATGACCATTCCCCCAACGCCAGATTTCCTTCTTGATAATGTTCATTGTGGATGTAAGACTGGCTGCAACTCACAACGTTGCTCATGTAATAAAGCAGGAGTGAAGTGCACAGATGTATGCTCTTGTACTGCATTCACGAATGTCTATATTGATGACGACAATGATGTTGAGGAAGAGGAGTTTTTAGACGATGACATGGACGACGAATTCGAGGCAGACCTTTAGAAAAAAACCTTTTGAATGACGACTAGCGTTGGCTTGTGCTGTTATGTTGGCGTAAGGCTTTTAATCTGTGCGCAGCTTCAGACTACTCTATCCACTGTAACGAGGGTGGCATATGAAAAAATAACAGAAGCTCACCACCTGAAAAATGAATTTCATTTTTTTCTGTTTTTTTTTTAACACTGCAATAAAATTTCCCAGTAATGAAAAGCATATGAAATAGCTAGAATGTCTACAAGTCTAAAAATTGAAAGAAACTCGTCCCTATCCTTACTCGCTAGAAGTCGCAACTGCGTGACAACGCACCTTTAGGAAAAGGGCGCCTTGCACAATACTCTTATATTTTTCTAAATATCATCTTCGCGAAAATTTCTTAAATCCAACCTAATGCACGTGTCAAATATTTATTTTTTTAAGAACCTTACTCAGGTTGTCAAATTAACTCTTTTTTAAGGAATAACTCTTTTTTAAGTCTGGCACGGACATACAAAATATAAATTAAATGAAGTTTCCTGAGAATAATGGCGGATCCGGAATTGTAATGAGCTACAAATTTTAAAATTTCAATGTAATGTAGCAATAAAACTCCAGCTTTTTGGAGATGACAAGAAGTAAAATTGTATTAAGCATGTAAAAGTCGTTCCGTCTTGAATTTTTCACGATAGCTCTGTTTGCGCGATTATCACCCAAGACTCTTGCTGCAACATTATCTTCTAACTCAAGTTTATCCAGCTGTTCTTGTAAGGTCATTGATGCATTTTATTTACAGAAGACCTTGAAACTGAGGCTTTCCATTAGATCTAAGAGATATTTGCTTAATGATGTTGTCTGAGGAAGAACAGAGACATTGCGTTAGATCAGGGGTCACCAAACTACGGCCCGCGGGCCAGATGCGGCCCGTTGGGCCTCTCAATCCGGCCCGCACAGACACTTAAGGGAAAAAATAATAATATTATTAAACAAAATAAACATTGTGCAGAAAGTTCACGTTATGACGCAAGCCAACTTGCAAGAGTGGCTTACGTCAATTTTTGACCCAACTTCCTACTTCTGTTTCAAGCACATTGCGAAATTAAAAAGCTGAAGGATAACGTGGAATTTTTTTATATTTTAATGCTTCATAATGAAAGTTCATGTGGCCCTCTGGCTGTAAGGTTTGGAGACCCCTGCGTTAGATTCATTCAATAGATATTTTAAAGTCAAATTAGGGAGTATTGAATGTAAATCGACAACAAATATTTGAAGCAATAGTTTTAAACTTCTCAACTCACCAATAGTATGAATAGACAAAAAGATTATTTTAACACGTTGACCCCATCACGGGAAGCTGAAATGCAGAAGGTGTGTATGAAAAAAGTGAGTTTGCCTCAATTTGACTGTTTACTATAATAGCTATTCTGATTGAACAAAGAGAAACTTATTATGTACAATAAATGAGCTTACTTATGTGCTCATATCTTAGTGAACAGCAACCCACTGTGTCAGCGGTATCTTCGTCCTTCTCGTGACCAGCACGAAGAGCAAGCTAATGGAGGAATATAAAACACCTGGATGGTAAAAGAATGTTTAAAAGCAGAAGAAAATGTTCAAATAAAACCATTACCTTATCAATGAAATACAACGCTACACCTCTGGAATAAAGAATTAAAAATGCTGTTAACTTGTTTAAAAACAACAACACCAGCTCCTAGTTAAATAAATCAAAAAAATAACCCACCCCCCGTCAAACGTCACATATTTCAATGTGACTTCTAAGTACAAACAATAATAAAACAACAGATATTCCAGTATTTCAATTGTGTAAATTAAATATGTTTAATGATATTTTAATCAAAATATAGCTACTTTTTACAGTTAATCAAAATTTTTAAATTACACAATAAATATTTCGGAACAACGTTTATTTCGTATGAGTTAAAATCTTCGCTGACAATGAATATACCTTTGTCTTAAACGCAATTCCTTACATTTCCAATCATTTCTATATCCTTGACGGATTTGACCAATTAAGCCCTACCAAAACATTATCAATCAACATGACATCGCTTGCATACCAATACATACTTTGGAGTCTTGGATAAATAGATTATTTAGATTTGGGATTCTGAGTTTAAACTTCAGACAATGATTTGCGGATTGCTGAGCAAAGTCGCATTTCAGATTATCTTTTAATGGGTTCATTTAACAGTTTTATGGACACAACAATATGGAGAGTCAAATCACATAAATGGTTGCACATACTTTTAATTTACGCGCGGTTTCATATTTCTGCCAATCTTTCTCTCCATAAATTATCAAAACTCATACTTTCAAAAAACATCATTCTGCACATCACAAATCAACTAACACATAATAATTACCTTCATCCTTGATGTTGGATTTAACATGGCGTACTTGTAACTTCCCTGGATATTCTCGATCCAACGTGCTAACCACGTAACCTAATAAATGGATGAGAAATCTCATATTGTGAAAATTTTTACCAAGATTCAAAGTAGATCCAAATATATCCATCAACAACACTGCATGTCAATCAATGTCTACACATATCCATCAATGTTCATATTCAATGAACATAATTTTAAGAAAATGTACACAGTCATCAACAACTATCACACCTTATTATCATGCTGAACTGCTTTCCATCTTTGCTCTTTAGGAGGATCGGAAACTTTAGCATCTCTACGTAAAAAGAGACGTGACGGCGTTAGTTTTACAGTGTAGAAAAGATTTGAATAGTTATTTTCAAAATACAAATTTTTCTTTTTACCAGTTAAGAAGGCACACTAGATTTTTCGCGGAGGAGTTGAATAACTCCAACTCTTTTGCGTGAACAAACGCGAAATGTGATTGAAATCACAAACTTGCCAATATTAATGATGACATCTTTAGCCTGGAGTTTTTTCTTCAGTTTCCCATGCTTCGGATGATCGCCTCTTCCTTGGAAAAGCCCGGGAGGTTCGATCTTAAAATTCCCCACTCTTTCTCGATGATTATCCACCATGCTGTAGCCATACAGGATATACATCGAAGATGTATACACGATGGTTTTGTAGGTTTGGGGGGAGGGGGGGGGGGAGGAGAGTACTCTAGTTTGGATTTCAATGGCTATTTGTTGCCGTAACATTCAAGAGTTTTTTGTCCAATTATGTTACATTTTTATTATTGGGATATAAACGTATTATTAGAGTAATATGATACGGGAACTTTATACCTATAATTATGATACATGATGGGATAATCGATCATGGACTTTGGCACTAACACTTATGTTTATATTAAGTTCTTTGTCTTGTTGACATCCTATCTTATTAGTATTCATATTCCGTTCTGTTGCACTGCACGTTGTATTTGGTCATGTTATATTAAAATGGTTACTTAAACATTACAATTGTAATATTTATTATCATAGGGATATTTTTGAAAGTGTGCTCGTTTGAACACTAACCAGTATTGCTTTTGCTTAATTGTTTGGTAAATTGGTATTTTGTGCATAAGTAATTAGTAGCCGAACTGTACTTGTGAAGTACACATCTCTCTTCTGAATCCATATTTAAGATGCATCAAGAATTCAACAGCATTGCTTTCGGATATGAGAAAATAATGCGGAGTTCATTTAGTTCATTTATCTCTACTCCTGATACACAGGGTCCCATAAAACAGCCGAAAAATTGCGAAATCATGACCTTAGACACATTTTTTAACTACTGAGTAAACTCGACTTATAGTCGCTATTTACCATGGCAAGTATACACTTTAATGTAATATAGCAACAATATATTCTAACCTCTTCACTTTTGGGAGAAAGTTCTATTTTCACACCCCAAGAATAAAAACCGAAAATAAACTAATGCTATAAAATGAATTTATCTATTTTCAATTTAAATATTTTTATCATAAATATGAATAATATATTATAAAGTTATGATCATAAACTCTTGCCGTCGTAGTAAAAGTGAACATCATCAGGAAGAGGTTCATACTCCGGTGGGAAGTATGGCCCCTTGTGTTCTAGTGTGAGCCATTTTATAACTTCCGGATGTTTTTCCTCCTCCTACCTGCAGCACAAAAACACGAGTTGAGGTGAGAGGAGTGAACTGTAATATTAACTGGAACGTTAACTCCAATACTTGCCTAAAGACCATTTTGAAGCCACCTTTCTATCTGCGTTTATAGGCAAATTATATAATCTCGTGAAATAAAACTTATTATGGCCATTTGTTCCACTGTATTTTATGTATATCATTGTTTATTTTCAAAAATAATATCATAGAACTTCTAAAAACGCAGAAAAACTAGAATCAGTATTGGCTTCAAAGATGGCGGAGCAATCTTTGAAGCCAATACTGTTGAGCGTCATATTTATCCTTTGAGTCGATACGTGTCAATTTATTTTATGCCACGGATTTCGAATCATCTTAAGAATAGATTGTTACGTAAAGCATAGATATTGCTTATGATTTTTATTGTTTTTCATATGTTTGATTTTAAATTTGGAGCAAATTGATTGATTTGTGCAAAAAATGTAAGTTTTAATGCTTTATGCCCGAAATAGGACTCTATGTTTCTGCAAGCTATTTTTAAATCCATTGTTTTGTATGCATTACAACATGCATATTTAAATATGAGCCCTCCCCCCGAAAATTAACAAACAACATACACCCATTTTAGTATATACATATATATATGCACTGCAAATAACGTCAAATATTTAAAGTAAGCTGTACTAAGATTGCGTTACACTATATCGGATTCGCTCATCACGACATCTTCATTTGCTTTAAAGGGGTAACTGTACGGAGTAAAGGCTTATTAAGTTGATAAATTTAGTCAATTCGATGCTTTTCTGACGTTGAACAAATTCACTGCTTTTTAGTACAAAGGAAATTCAATTTGCTAAGATAGTAATCTGGTATAGTGTAAACGTGGCCTAAGTAATCTATGATATTGCGTTATTATATACATTTTTTGCTATTGATAATTTAGCTCAAAGTTATGTTCATTTATTGCCTAAACAAAAACAATAAAAATCATATGCCGCATCTTTGCTTTACATAATAATCCATTCTTAGCCCTTTCATTCCAAAATTATTAGCCGTGCCAAAAAAAATTTTTCTGCGCTACATATGCATAGAAACAATGTTAAATATGTCATGAATTTCATTACTAATCTAAAAATTTATATTTTCATGGAATTAAAATTTTGTTGCCAAATGGCAACATTGGGAGTATAGTGACATAGCTCTATACTTAAAACTCATGTTTATTGATTGACATTGAAGTTTTATAATTATTATACCTGTATTAAAATCCATAAAATTAACTAAAGATACAATTGATCAGTGAGGTTCCTATTTACTCCAAGTAAAAGAAAAAAATATGTACAAAATAGCAATGCTACAAGTAAGAAATATTTACAACTATAACAATTTTACTTTTTGTGATTCTTCAAAAAGCAATTATTGTTGTTATTCAAACACAAAGGCACTTCACATTTGATGCATTTTATTCTGGTATAGCCTTTAATGCAGTTTTTGCAGTTTATTTTATTTTGAATTTGTATGGGCCAATGGGCAAATTTGTCATATCGTACATCATTGGTTGGGTTTGGTGTAGATGCTTTTTGTTTCTTGTTTTGAATTGACTGGCTGGGAGAGTTAGGTGGTCGACCATGCTTTGTTTGTACTTCTTTTCCCTTTATTTTCCTGGAAGAAGCAATCTGTGCTTGAAATTCTCTCAATGTCAACAATGACTTTTGATTCTTTTTGTGTTGTTTTGCATGTCGCCGGTACAATAGCCAGCCATTCACCAATGCAGCATTCAAACAATACAAAACTATTCTCATATATCATTTCTTTGACCGTAAATTGATGCGATATAGCTCAATAAGCATGTCTACCAAGTCAACCCCTCCCATGTGGGCATTGTACTCCTGTACAACATAAGGTCGAACAACATCAATTTTCTTCTTTGCTTTACCACAGTATCGCTTGCATATTCCAAGTGGTTCAGGACCATAATGGGATGACACAATATGTATTGGCTTGCTGTCATACCACTTAACAATTGTGACACCTTTATCATTAGACTTGTTGTCATAGCTTCCTCGCCCATCTTTCTTCATTTCTTTGTCTGATTTCAGTTGACAACCTGCCATTCGATCCTTGCGAATAGTGCCAACTTCCCAAATGCCTCTTTCTTTAAACATTTCTACCAACTGCACTGATGCAAACCAGTTGTCGAAATACATCTTGTAATCTTTGTGATCTGCCAAATTTTTGGTAAGTCTGAGTACAATATTGCCAGAGATACCTCATCATCACCATCATCAATGTCGCTTACATCTGATATTTCACCATTAGGACAAAAAATGAGCTCTACTGCTTCAGTCAAATCCATAACTCTCTTAAAAAAGAATAAAAACATCAGTTATAGAAAGGAAATGCTTAGTTTATATTCAATTAACACTATTTCTACAGTGACATCTTCCAGAGATTAATCTGCCCATTGTTGCCATATGGCAACAACATTATACATTAGAAAATCTATGTGGGCCGATCGCGCTTTTAATAAAATAATTGCTTAAATATGACGAGGACCAATAATTTAATCAATTAATATTTTTATATATCTCAAAACTAAACATATTATAATTAAATTTACCTTTGAAAATGCGCAAAAATTTGCTCTCACTAACTTCCGTAGGACACCATGTGTAATAATCAATTAAACTTATATAAAAACAGATTTACGAAGATTTGCCTCACATATCACATCAACCACATCAGTACCTAAAAACGCTTGCCTGATTTTTGTTTTTGAGCTTATTTCATGTAAGCTATGTAGCATAAAAGACAATGTTGCCATATGGCATCATATGCCACGTATTCAGTGGATGATCTAGGATTTTTTAAACGTCAGTCCTAAATCGGCGAACACCGTATGGGGTCCG